CCCCCCAAAAAAAAGTCAATTTTCGTCAGAAATTTAAAAAGTGAGATAAATATGTAGGAAGATAGCCCATCTTCGGATCTTTCAGAAATTATATGGTTTTTTTATCCAAAACCTCCTTTTTGGCTAAAAATTTTGATGATTTTCATAATCAGCTGCTTGAAAAAACAGGCTTTTTTTCTCGATCTATGATTTTTTGAACTTGTGATCGTCTTTCTCCGCTAAAAAAGTAAGAATTCAAGAAACCGACTCTGTGATTCCCTGCATTCTGACATGCTCTTTCTAATAAAGAAAGAAAAACGTATAGCACGAGACTGGATCGAGAAATATTGGACGCAAAGTGAGCTATTTTTTACCCTTGTTTGGTGAATATCTTGCTCAAACATCATGGCATAGAGCTGAAAATTTTATCGTAGCCTCACTACTACAGCCCTAACATTTCAGCAAATTCGGGTCTCAAAGGGTTAATTCATACAGGAGATACATATCAACAGTTTAAGATAATGTTATTTTACTTAAAACTCAATTTTCAAAAATAGAAAAGATAAGTTTAATCTCAAACACCAATAGAATATAAAGACCTAAGAAGACTTCTTATGGTCATATTCGAAATCAGTATGACCGATAACATATAATCGAGTAACATTAAATGATTGATTAGTTGAAGACGTGTCCTTGTCAGAAAAACACCTTCATACCTCGTAAACAAAGTGAGATCGAACAAGCACAAGTTTTTCTACTGAATTGTCTTGTCGAAATATTTCATCTGATTGGCGAATTGTTAAATCAATAAAATCTATTATATTTCAAAGACATGCCGATGGCGTTGCGAGGCGACGAAAATTGCCGGTCTCTGTCTTCCTAGTGAAAATTATTCGAAAAATAAATGCAATCATTATATTAATAGGCACACATTCTTATCTATTCACATAATTTGTTTTTTTTATTCATTAGAATAAATCAAATAATGATCAGTATCAAACTTATTCAAACAAATTTATAGATGTTTCTTTATTTTCAAATAGAATATCAATTGTAAATTTATTATACAAATATTTCAATGTTTATTATTTATATATTATTATTAAAAGATTTTTAACTGAATAAATTAGTAAGTAAAGAATGAATAAATAAATTTCGTTGTTCATTTATATTTTTATTTTGATATTTATTAATTAATTTTTCTAATAAAGATTGTTCAATAGATTTTCTATAGATTTTTTCATTAGAATTTAAAATTTTTATTTGTTTAAATATTTTTGTTTTTAAATTTAAATTTTCTTCTATATGTTGATGAAGATGTTCAAAAAGATTATTTTGTCGAATAAAACAAATAGGACATAAAACAGAATATTTTAATGTTTTATGTTGATCATTAATATGTTTAATTAAAAAATTTAATTCAAAACCATTTTCATTACAAAAAGAACATGTTAAGGATATAAAAGAATATTGTGTATGTTTATGTTCAAAATAAATATGTTCAATATCATGTTTTGTTAGAATAAGTTGCATTGGATGATAAATAGAATGTGTTGGAATAGATAGATTTTGCTTTTTATCATAACATATTGCACATAAATCAAAATCATTACATATTAAACATTTATAACGACGACCAGAAAAATTTATTTTACGACATGAATCGCAAGAAACACCATGATGTATTGACATTGAATTAGAAATTAGATTTATTTTAAGGTTACTAAGGAGTTAAATTTTCTTTTTTTTTCCTACTATCCAAATATAGAAATATTCAATTACAAAATAACTTTTAATTAAAAGTATGTCAAATATGAATGAATGTATTACAAATAGTAAGAAATATGTTGATCGAATTTCTATTCACATTCCTGTTGTTATTGGCATGTATGGTATTATATTATTTTTATTTTATTTATAAATTTAGAACATAGAAAAAGAAAAGACTATTATAGTTAAACTTCTTTTACTTATGTCAACTTCTAAATTATGCTCATGTATGTGAAAGATAAATTTGATAAACTTTGATATTTTTCTGTTATTATATGTGAATACTTTAAGTTCATTATTTAATGAATAGAGAATTTGGATTTTAATCAACATCTCAGTAAAATATCATAATGCTAAGATTTTTTTATTGACACAAATAATGATCGGCTTAAAAGGAAATTTTATTTTTTTTTCGTTTCTATATATATTGATCAAGAAATCAAGATCATACTTTTCGTACTATACAATGGAGAATAACCCAAAAAGGACGTACTTTTTATCTTTAGTAATAAAACTCACAAGAAGAAAGAAAAAAACAATATCAATATCATTCTATTGATCAGTGCGAAAATAAATAGTCAAATTTTCAATATCAATAAAATATTTATTTTTATTAACAACTATTAGATAGTATATTATATATTTTACGCACTTATTATTATTCGAACAGTTACATACAATTATGTTTTTATTTTCTTTCATATATCATTTTACTTGAAGTATGAAATTTTTTTTATAACTAAACTAAGTAAATTTTTATCATTAATATTAAATATAGTCATATTTCGCGTTTAATATTGTCATGAAGCAAATAATTTGGGCATGAATACTAAAAATGCGAACGATGCGAAAATTATATCGTAGGTGTAAAGTAAAACTACATAAATTCGTAGTCACATGATAATTAGGAAAAGAAGAAAAGAAAAAAAAAACCTACCACACATACACACAATGTGACTTATTATCAAAGGACGCTGGTATTCGAAATATGAGTTAATGCAGCTGTATTTGAACTAGCCAAGGTAGCATAGTAAACACTACTTATATGACAACAACTGAGAAAAAAAAATAAGATCATATTTCTGTTCTTTTTTCTTTAAAATACAAAAAAAAAAAAGATTTCTATTGGAGAATATATTAAAACAAAACAAAAAAGGTAGAACATTCTATATGTACATTTTCTTGTTTTAGAAAACAAGCAATTCAATGCCGATGAATATTAAAACAATGTGCACAAAAATTAAAGATAAATTTAATTCACCACAAAAACAAATGACATCATATGTTCATTCAACTTCTTCTGATTCACTTAATCTATTTGGTACATACAATCATAATAAAGATATGTTAATAGAAATCGATCGACCAGAACATGATATTCATGTAACACCTTCATCATTAGAACCACATTGTCCAATATTTACTGTTACTATTGGAGTGTTTGATATATTAGTACTTATTATTCTATATATTGTACAGGAAGGAACTATAGTAACGTCTGAAACATGGATTAAAATGGGTTGTAAATACGTGCCTTGTATGAAACCACTGTATTCTAAAGCAGAACAAGAAGTGTATAATGCTGGGCTCAAATCTCAATGTGAATCTTTTCTGTTTCCTTATCAATTCTTTCGATTTATTACTCCAATATTTCTTCATGGTGATATAACTCACCTCTTAAGTAATCTCGTTTATCAGGCTTTGGTTGGAACTCTTTTGGAAGGAAAATATGGTAAAATAACATTAGGAATATGCTATATTTTATTTGGCTTCAGTGCAAATGTTATGAGTTCATTGTGTAATCCGAAGAGTAGTATGTAAATCATAATAATTATTTTCATTTACTGAATATGATAATGTATGTTTAGTATCTGTTGGAGCATCGGGTGCAGTTTATGGTCTCTTATGTTTCTGTATGATGGACAATACTTTACGAGTGTTTACTATTACTAATACTCAAGACAGAATCATTCAATGTCTTATCACACTTCTCGTTATTCCATATTTTATATTGAGTATATTTCTTGATGTTGATTCGTCAGGTCATGTTGATCATGCAGCACATATTGGCGGTGCAATTATGGGTATTTTAGTTGGTATATTTTTATGTGATATGCCAGGATTTATAACAACTCGAATTTCAAATGGAGAAAAACGAATTCAATTAATTGCACTAATTTTAATTATTGGATATTTTGTTATTACATTATTGATCTTTTATTTATTTATACCGGTTCATCTTAGATAATTAGAATTCTAATAGTTGATGTATTCGCATAGAGTTCAGATAGTCTTGTTGTCATTAAGATTAAGTATATTCACATGTGAAAAGTGAACTTTATTTTAGAAAAAAAAAACTATTTTCAATTTGTGAAATTTTATTCGTATCATTTGTAAATAAACACATCTAGACGAAATAAAATATCTCACTAATTCATAATATAGATATTAAATATTTCGTAGAGAAAAATACATGAAAGAATGCATTATTGAATTTCAAGATTGTCGAGTGAAATAGATAGGTATAGTTGTAAATATTTTTTTTCTTCGTCAAACAAAATGCTATAAATTTTTTTAACAGAAAGATAAAGTTATAATATTTGATTTTAAATCAGAAATGAAATTTATTTGAATGATCAGCATATCTCGTATCGAAAATAGTGAAAAAGAGAAGAATAAATGTACTAAAAATCAAAATTCAAGAAGTGCTTCAGTATGATTGGAATAACACGTACATCTGTTCAAAATATGCAAGAAATTTTAGAATACAAGAAATTACTAATCATGTACAAAACAAAATTCTCAAGTAATGCTAGAGGAAATGTCGAGAACGTCAAGTACGAATACTTTGTGAAAAACAAGGAGCGTAAACGAAACCTTGTCCTTGTGATTTGAAGGTCGCATCCGAATCATAGCCTCAAGTATTATTAATGAGCTGACAGAAAATACAATAAAAGAACTTTTATTCATTTATTTACTTTCTTATGTTTATTGAACTGGTTGACCTTTATCGGTCATAGAAAGTAATGGTAATAAATCTATCTCTAGAAAATGAACTTTTTTTTCAAATAAATATGCAAGAATACACTAAAAGAAAATAATATTCTTCATCTAGTTATATAAAATATAAATCGTATGGATCTCAATAATTCATCAAAAGCAATATCAAAGAAATCAATGTAGATCTTAAAATATATATGCAAAGTGAATAATATCTATTTACTTCAAAGAGCTATTTTATGTTAGAGTTCATTTAAAAATAAATAAAAATAACGAAGAAAAACTATAAATTATTTTTTTCTACAAGTCAACGTGAACTTGAGTCATGAATTATTTAAAAGAACATCAATGTAAATATCTCGTTGTCATATAAAAAAAACTTCTATTTTGATCCGAAATCATAGACTTTTATTTACAACATATTTAACATTGAATATCTTTTGATATTAAATTAATTACTGTTCTATATTTTTCTCGTCTGAAATAGAGCTTTAAAAATATTTTTTATTTTTACTTATGCGCAATTTCTTTCTTTCTTTCTTTTCATCATAAAAACACATCAAGTCGGTTTCGAGTAATAGGTATGCCTTGTTTTGAATTATTCTATTGCCAGTTGCTTACCCCCTATGATTATTCTTTGTTTTTTTCTCTCTTTTTCTTTCTTCCTTTTTTTTTTACATTGAGGAAAACAAATGTCGTCTGAAATAACTGCAAACAAATATATGGATATATATGTCTGTTAAAATATTATCAGATTAAATTCAATCAATAAATGGAAGAAGAAAAAAAATTTAATTACGATTCTAATTATCTTTGTTTTCAATAGAGATAATAACCTTTAAAATTGATATTTAACAAGTACTGTATGAGTATGACTCATCTTTTATGACATTAAATGATCGAACATTCTAGTTGAAAATTTCTTTTCACAAATATGATTTTTTTTTTGTAACAAAGTTCTCATGATCAGCTGTTAAGTATCATTGCTTTTTTATTTTTTCAAAATGAAATTTCTAAGGTTTTGGTAATTACTAATAATTATCAACGAATGTTGTTGTAATCATTTTTGATATTTTTACTTTGAGTCATCATATTCCTTATTTAAACATAATGTTGCTCTCTCAGCCGTGACAGAAAAAAAAAGTGCATAGAGTTAGATATTCATTATGATTATTATTTTTTTCTCTTCCTAGGAATCAACGAAACCAATTCAGTATATTTTAGATATTAATACATACTTGTTTTTTTTCTTTAATTTAACTTCTGTAAGTGGTATAATGGCGAAAGCCTTATTCGTCACTTATTTGCTTGGTAAGATATTTCTTATATTCAAAACAAGATTAAAAAAAAGAGTATATTGTTATTTATTTTCAAGCTTTATCAATTGGTCCAACGATTGGTTATGCACAGGAATGTGCTGTTGGACCTGAATATTGGTGTAAATCATTCCAAAATGCACAAGATTGTGGTGGATTACAACATTGCACTGATACAGTTTGGAATCATGATCAGAAATATGAATTAGTTGCTTCGTCAACAGCATGCCAATGGTGTCAAAAAATATTTGAAAATACTCATAAAGGATTTGAAGAATTAGATGATAGTGACGTTCGTAATTTCTATTAAATAATTTAAATATGAAAACTATTTTCTATTTAGGATGCTATTATATTCACATTGAATAGTGAATGTAAATCATTATTACCAAATGATTTTATAACAAAAGTAACTAGATAAAAAAAAAAATCTTTGTTAGGTTTTTTTAATAATTAAACTTATTTAGTGTACGAATATTATTGAAAATTATGGAACATCAGTTATATCATTAATGAAAAATCAAGTAAATAAAATTAATTATAGAATAATTAAATAATAATTATGCTTTGTTTTTCATAGCGGTATGCAACATTATGTCATTTGATGGATATTTGTAGTAGTGAACCGGTTACTGAAACACCACCGGTAATTCTTGGACGTAATCATTGTACATGGGGTCCATCATATTGGTGTTCATCATTGAGTAATACACGTGAATGTAATTCAATTGATCATTGTTCGGAACGAGTTTGGTCACAACAAGCTATTAAAAAAAACGAAAATGATAATGTTTGTCAATATTGTGAATATATTGTCACAAAATTACGTACTATTATAAAGGAAAACAAAACAGAAGTATATTAAAAAACAAAATAAATTAGAAGAAAACATTGAATTTTTTTTTTTATCTTTATATAGGTTGATGTCGAAAAATGGTTATCTGAAGCTTGTTTAATGTTAAAAACACAAGAAATAATTGATGAAGTAATAAATAATTCTCGTTTGAAATTAAATAGTCAAATTGTTCTGATTTGGTTTTAGTGTGTACAAACGATGAGTAAATATGCAAAAGAAATTATTGTTTTAATTAATAACAATATTGTAAGTTAAAATTTTTTATTCTATTCTATATAATTATGATTAAAACTAGGATCCGGGTATAATTTGTCATTTGGGACAAATGTGTAAAGATGCAACAATTATACAACGAGTACTTATTGATGATGGAGAAATAAAACCAGTAGCTTTCGATGAACAATCAAAAATATTATGTAACGTTATTGTTCGTGCTACACATGATCTTTATATGAATCATCAAAAAAGTCAAAGTGATATTCAAACATTTTTAAAAGATGATTGTGAACAATTATCAACTTTTGAACTTAAACAAAAGGTTAAACGAACTAATTTAATAAAAAGATAATTATCTTGTTTTTATTTTACTAGTGTGAACATTTAGTTGATCAATATGGTAATAATATTTATCTTTATGTAGCTAAGAATATGGTAAACATGAAAAGAAATTTCTAATCGATAAAAATTATGGTTTCTTATTCATAGGAATTATCAAAAGTCTGTGATAATATTGATTTTTCTACTTATCGTACTACTACTACTACTACTCCAGTAAGATGTTTATATCAATCAAATATTAGTAATATCGATTATTTTATTTAGTCTTCTTCTCCTGTTCAATGTGATCAATGTACATTCGTTTTAGCAGCAACTAAACAAATGTTAGAAGCGAAAGATTCTGATGTAGGAGAATATAAATCAATCTCGTTTTTTGTTTTGAAAAATAATCTTTTATATATGATAGGACAAAATTTTTACCTATATTGATGAACAATTATGTTCACATTGGGATGGTGAAATACAGAAAAATTGTAAATCTGTTATAGAAGAAAATGGACAAGATTTGATTGATAATATTCGAAGTGGAACAGTAAAAATTAAATAAAGTTTTGTTTTTTTTTTCTTTTAAATATATCATCTTTTTTATATTTAGCAACCAATACTTGTATGTACTTATTTTAAAGTTTGTCTGAATAAAATAACTGATCAAACAAGTCCAATACAAAAAGTTAGCAAAAAAGCTACATTAAAAAATAATAATTCAATATTGAATATATATTTATAGGATGAAATGCGTTCATTTTTCGAAAAAAATATTTGTGATCATCTTGGACCATTTGAAGATTCGGTAATTTTTTTTTTTTCTAAGATTAATTTTCATCTTTTTATTTTTAGTGCAATGCATTAATGGAAAAAGATACTACACTTCTTTTGAACACACTTGTTAATAATATGGTATGTTTAAAATTTACAAGGACATATAATGGAGAACATAAGTTTAGAGTCGTTGTATTTTTGAGTCTTCTTCTCAATAGTAACAGTTAGGAAGAGTCTAGAAAAAGATATAACGTTTGTTTTCAAATTCTTCCGAGCTATTACCATCCAGAAGAAAACTTAAAAATACAACTGTTCTAATCGTTTGCTCGCCACTATATCTTCAAATATTAAACGTTAAATTTCTAAATGATTATAGAAAATTTTATGTTGATAATTAAAAAAAAACGCATGTTTTATAGGAAGGTGAAGTTCTTTGTGAAATGTTTGGAATATGTTCAACGAAAATATCATTTATAGATAATTTATCAATTGGTGATGTAAGAATTTTATTATTATTTAATTTGATTTTTATATAAATATAATAGGATAAAGATAAATGTAAACGATGTATTAATGATTTTACACGACGCAAACATATAGCTGAAAAACTTTTAGTAAGTTAACTAAATATTTTTATGCTAATGAGAATAATATTAATTTTAGAATCATTCATCGGAATTTCTTCATCATCTTTGTGGACAATTACCTCAACCAGATGAAGTATGAACATTAAACTAAAAGAAATGAAGGAAAAAATTTTTACAAACGGAGTATTTTTGACTTTTGTTTTCTTAACAGTAACAACTAGAACAAATTAAACACAAGATAAAACAATTTTCTAACAGGAGAGATACTTGTTGAGTTCTTATTAATAGGTTTGGATGAGAGGTATCTGAAAAATCACTCCCTCCTCTCTCCACCAAGCCAGTTTTCTTTCGTTCTACGAAAGACTCGAAAGCATAAATCATAGTAAATTAATAAAAAATTTCATAAAAACAGCGTTTTAGACCTATTGCAGAAGGTAGATCGAGAAGATCTTCGGAATATTAAAATGTTCGAGAAAACTGATTTTGGTTTTCCAAAGATCTTTCACCCAAATCTGCTAATGAAAATTCGACAAGTAACTTTCCTAATAGGAAATTGTTTTCTCTTGTATTCTATTTGTTATTATTAAGGGAAAAAGTCAAAAATATTTCGTTTGTAAACTTTTCGCTTCTGCTTGATATGTTCTACAAATTTGTTTGATTATATTTAGTGTACGAAAGCTGTTGATGATTCAATTAATAATCTTGTTCAATTTATTCAATCATTGGTATGAGAATTTTAAATAGAATAGATTTTTTAAAGTCTTTCTTTTGTTGGTTTAGAATCCACAAGATATTTGTGTCGAATTAAAAATGTGTAATGAGACATTATTAGAAGAAATAGAACCACTTCAAATAACTGCATCGGATAATATCATAAGTGTAAGCTAAGATTTTTTTCTATTTAAAAAAAAACAGTAATCTTAATTGATTTTTAGCAAGAAATTATGATTTATATTAAAAATGAAATTTGTGCTAGAATTGGACCATTATCAAACTTGGTAAATTTTCGATTTAAAATTAAAAGAATATTCTTGTTTTTACTGTTTTATTTTCAGTGTATTAATTTGGTAGATTCTGAAGGTGCAAGTCTTTTTGCTCGTATTGCTAAATATATAGATCCACATCAAGTCTGTAGTGTGATTGATGCATGTCCGACTACTGTTGCATTTGAAAATGTAAATTTGAAAATCTTTGAGGCTTTTTAAATATTTTCAATATATTCTTTTAGTGTAATGATAAATGTGAATGTTGTATGAGTAAAATTGAAAATTATCAAGTAAAATTAGCTTCATTTTTGGTAAGATTTCTTATAAATGAAAATTATATTTTCAACATTTCGTTTTCAGCAAACAATGGTGACGACTACAAATGCTATATGTGAGCGTATACCAAACTCGGAGAATGTAAGATATTTGAGAGTAAGATATGGAAAGAATTTATTTTTGTATTTTAGTGTCGTGAAGTCGCTGCTGAGTTTAAATCGACTATTGATAAAACAATTAACGGCTTTGTAAGTATAATTGATAATCGAGATGAATAACTCTTATTATTAAGGCTACTATTTATATCTTGTATTTGTATAGAATAGATAATAATTGAAAAGAAAACCGAGTCTCTTGTCAAGAATATTCTTTTATAGACATATTCTCAAATAGTCAAATTTTTTCGACCACTTCAAGATAACTGATTAGAACTGATTAGATTATTTCAAAATATTAGTTGTGTAAAATACTATTTTGGCCAATTTAATATTTTGATTGCAACTTATAAAATTTAAAACGCAAAATAATTTTTAATGGTACAATTTGTTCTACAAAGCGTACTATTTACTTTTTGCATTTTTGAAATTAGTGATTTTTTCTTCACTGATGTCGATTTCCATAGGAATTTGCTCTTTAGTAGAAACACATAGATGAGATTTCGCTTATTGTAATATCTCATTTTGTAAAGAATTCAATGCTTTACAATCAATGTTTTATCCAGTGTATGAACAAATGGGAACAGCACCTCTCTGAAAATCAGATTGCCCTTCTGAAGTTCTAAATCGTCCCTTCACACGATACAATCTGAATAAAATACTGTCTATAATAATATTTAGGTGAAACTGTTCCAGATATACAAAATAAGAACTCGACCAAAGCAGCTATTTTATTTTGTACAAATACAGTTTTGGGCTTTTCCCACGAAATTTACTGATAATCGTTCAATCTCATCCCACAAGCAAAATCCGAAAATATTTTTAGAAAGAGCAAAAAATTCTATTTTCAGTTCTAATAAGATGTCTTTAAGTGACCGAAAAATAAGTGAATATTTTGTATAAAGACTTTCGTGTCACAGGTTACTATCTCCATGAATTGAGATCTTCAAGTAACACTGTAAGAGAGTACATTATCTAATATAGACAGTTTCTAAAAAAAAAAAGATTTGCTTGTCAAAGGCTAAACTCGATCTAGTATTTCTCTAAATATTTCAGCACCCAAAATTAACATGCCGATCACGTTTGTCTTATATCAACATTCTCATATAAACAGATAGCAATGATCCTCTAACGCATTATTGATTCTACTACAAGAATTTCATTATATAAAAAAATAGTGCCATCTTTACGGGATTAAAATGAAAAATTGTTTTGTTCTATGCATCTTGGAATACATTTCTTCACTTTCCTTTTACTTAATACTCGAAAAATTTAATAAAGAAATAGTTAATATGATGTAACGATCTGTGATCATATATCAACAATATATGTCTTTACTTAATTTTTTAATAGAATGCCAAACGAATTTGTCAATTATTAAGTCATTGTTCAGCAGCTCCTGCGGAAGTAAATGATTTGATTTTTTTAATATAATTTTAAATGATAAAATTAAAAAATATAACGTTTAGTGTACCATGGATAGTGACAAATGTCAATGTTGTCAAAATCAAATAAATTTTCGTCAAAATAATTTTCGTATAGTAATCAATGAATTAGCAACAATTGTAGCTTCTTCATGTAACGATCATGGTTGTCATTCGGTTATTCAATCAACTAGTCAAGAAGTATTAAATCAAATAAATCAAATTGATTCTTCAGTATTTTGTCAACATTTTGGTCTTTGTTCATCTATATCTTCATCACGATCAATACCATATCTTTCTAAATTAATGACGACGTTTTATCTTAATTTTGGATCATCGATTGAAAAATTCTCTGATAATCTTTGTTTGAAATTTGGAGATTTAAAATCTATATGTGAACATATAATGGCATCAACAGAAAGTGATCATTATGTTAAAATTTATATGGCCTTTTTAAAAAATAATCCAAAATTAATTGATGATGATTTACGTAAACAAAAAACAGATGCTTGTGATCAATGTAAAAATGCTACTCAATCATCAAAAGATTATCTTATGAATGAATTAGTAAGAAATCATAGAAAAATAAATCATTTTTTTCGGTTTTATTAAATCAAACTATTATTTATTATTTCATAGGAAACAGTTCGTGATATTCTACTTAAAACCTGTGACATATGTTCAGCGAAAGAGAAATGTCAAAATGTTTTTAATCAACGTTTTGATGAGCTTAAATCTTATTTAGATAATATTAATCCTGAACAATTTTGTCAATCAATTCATCTTTGTTCAATATCTTTAAATAGTAAATGTTCAACATGTATTGAACGTTTACAATTAAGAAAAGATGGAATTTTACAAGCCATTGATCGACTTACTGGATATTTCAATGATCTTTGTCAACAACATGCTAGTAAACAATGTCAAATATATATTCAACAAATGCATGATTTAATTCAAATATCATTTGAAGAATTTGATCCAAAAGAAACTTGTAATGTAATTGGATTTTGTACAACAGACAATATTGAAAATGATATGGATTTTGATAAATATGAAAAACATTTAGAAAAGAAAATGGATGAAAATATTTGTTCAACTCTTGGTCCATTTGAAACGTTATGTAAAAGTGTTGTTCATGGAGATACAGAACAAATTCAAAAATTAAAGATTAATTATGATATTAAAGATTTAATGAAAATTGATGAAGAATTAACAGAAAATTTATCCAATTCAGAAGATCATGGTAAGTTTATGTAACATAGTCATAAATCAAAACTTATAGCAGAATTGTTTTATCATGTTTGAATACAGCTCGTCAAGTTGCATGAGAAACAGTATGTTTCAAATTTGAAAAAAGAAAACTATTTTACGAAAAGGTCCAAAATATCGTAATTTTGAAATTTCAAACATAAACTTTCTCATTCAAATTGACAAGCTGTATCCAAATATGATAAAAACAGAAGAAAAGGCTCTGCTGGAATTTTAATTTGTCAATACAATGCACGCATTGACAAAGTTGTTAACGCAATCCTTGCAGGATTAAAATGTGAAACACGCTGTAGTTGCTGTTGCAGATCGCAGGAATACTGTTTTATTCTATTTATTATGAGATACGTGTGTTCACTATCTAGTTACTTAAACATCCAGAAATGTAATAAGGAAATAGTATATATATATATATATATATTATAACGAGACATTGTTGATATACAGGTCGTGATTGTATATCAACGTCCGTCACGACCTACGTGGGAGAGGAAAGGTGGTTCGAAGTTTTTACCCCTATATTTCAACACTCCTCCCTTTTAGATCGTGTTTTACCGTATCTTCATATTCGAATACCTCTGTCTCGGCACACTAGCACCAGTCTATATTTTAAATATGATAGTTTGGAGATGAAAACTTTATTTGTCCTGAATATATCAATATAATAAACATTTCTAAAACCTTCAAGCATTGAAGAATGTCTCTCATCCTTCAAATTTTAATCACATTGAACTCTTTTGTTTCTTGATCAAAGATCTTAAAGTTACTTGATTGACAATAGAAAGAGTAATGTATATTTCTAATTCTTTCTTTTTTTTTCATTTAGATGAGTTCGAACTAGACAAATGCAAACATTGTATTTTTCGAATAATTCGAAGGAAACGACATATTAAATTTATAGGTGACAAAGTTTTTATTGCTTTAATTCATTCATGTAAAAAATGCCCGGCTAAACATCAATGTCGTCGACATTGGCGAATGGCTAAATTACGATTTGATTCACGTATCGATCATATTTGTCCAAAACGAGTTTGTACTCACCTTGGTTTTTGTAATAAATCATCATTATGTAATAATATGGGAGGTTTTCAAGAAATATGTCAAAAATCCATTGAATCAAGTGAATCAGAAGTTGAAGAAATAAAACAAATTGATGACTCAAATTCGACATGTATTCTTTGTGAATATGTAATGAATATTCTTTCAAATTATATTAATCGTCAATCAACTGAAGAAGAAATCGAAGAAAATTTGCAAAAAATTTGTAATTTAATGCCATCAATATTACAAAATCAATGTCATGATTATATTGATAATTATGGCCCATCAATAATTGCAACTCTTCTTCAAGAATTTGACCTTTCAACAATTTGTCACAAACTTAATTTATGTACAAATCAAATGAAATTTGATATTACGCATATAACAAAAGCAAATACGTCAACATGTGGTATTTGTGATTATATATCAACATATCTACATTTTGCACTTAAACGTGATTCACATGAAAAATCTCTTCAACATGCTTTGTCAACTGTTTGTTCACATTTATTAACTGATGTAGAATATTCAAAATGTCAAACAATAGTTCTCTTATTTTCACCAAATATTAAAGAATTAGAATTGAGCCCAGGAAATAATTTTTGTAAACAATTAACGATATGTCAAACACCAATGATTGAACTACAACCAGCAATACCAATCACAAACGAAGATAAAACCGTTAAAATCGATTCGGCTGAAGAATCTGATTTTGTTGAAGTATTAGTAAATAACGAACAAAAAGATCCTTTAATTGCTGAAAATTTAAGTTTAACGCCACAATGTACATTATGTCACTATGTTATTTCATATTTGGATGCGGCTTTAAAAAATAATAAATCAGAAGAAGCTATTGAAGAAGCATTAAAAAAAGTATGCACTATTTTACCGAGTAAGTTTTGTTGTGAAATAAAAATTTACATATTGAACTTCCTTTCTTTTAGGTAAAGAACGTACCGAATGTGATGAACTTATCAAAACTTATGGACCTGTTCTTGCAGAACTTATTGCTGAATCGGTCGATCCAGATACAGCTTGTCGTTATCTTGGGATGTGCCAAGATTCTGTAACCAAGAAATCGACAACAACAACAACAGCAAAAACAACAACAACTCCAGCATCAACGAGATACGCTAAATGCATATTTGGCATGAAATATTGGTGTACAAGTCGTGAAAATGCTCAATTGTGCAATGTGAGTAAAAAGAAGTTTATCATTATTGACAATGTTTTGTTCATTTTTCTTCTAGGCTGTTGAATTCTGCGAACGTCAAGTTTGGTCGAAAGAGAACATTGTGATTGACTAAACAGAAACTTTCATCCTTTATCAAATGTACATTTTTCTCATCTTCAATTTTGGTAGGATGAGATAGTGACTCGTTGTTTTCAGTTGACTAATAGTATACTAACAAACTGCTTTTTCTTATTTAACCATGTTTTAAACATGAAAGCATTTAAATATATCTCTTTTCACATTCCACTGATTATATGCTGTCTTTGCTTTCTTTTCCTTCTTTGACGTATTTATTCTATACAAGCTGCTATTTATTCTATTCTATTTTATCGCCTTTCATATTTTCAATAAACTTCATTTTTCAAATACCACACTACCATGACTTTAGCAAAAAAATTCACTAAAGAAGAAGATCAAAAAATAATAAGATCATAAACGCTTACGGCCATACTACGTTGAATACACCAGTTCTCGTCCGATCACTGAAGTTAAGCAACGTCGGGCTCGGTTAGTACTTGGATGGGTGACTGCCTGGGAATACCGAGTGTCGTAAGCTTTTTATTATATTTTTCTTTCTTAATATTATATTTCACAGCACGAAATGATGCTTTAAAATACTGCTTCTCTCAAGTAAACTTTTTTTTATTCACGTAGACTGTCAATTTTTTATTGCAGCTGTTGACTCTGCAGATGACTTGTGCTACGGATTTTCATTCAGGTGAAAAATTGGAAGAAAGAAATCTTGTGAAAAAAGATGTAACTGTGCACACAGCAGTATGCCTTCAAAAAAGGATTTCAGAATAGTGCATCAATATATTCAGGAAAAAAAACAGTAGCAATTATTACGTAGCAACAAAAAAAAATTCTGTAGGATATTTTTACATGTAGTTGGTCCAGATCTCCAGCTTTCCATGCAAGTCACGGTAATTCTCACGTAAAAAACCAAAGAGATAACTGTCACAACTTGCTGTAGTTTAGGGTGCTATATTCAAAAGTGAGAAGATCCTATTCTTCCCAGAAGTTTGTAATACATAAGCAGATCATTTCAAATAATAACATCGAATAATAGTAACTCGTCATTCACTTACGGCCATACCACGTTGAATACACCAGTTCTCGTCCGATCACTGAAGTTAAGCAACGTCGGGCTCGGTTAGTACTTGGATGGGTGACCGCCTGGGAATACCGAGTGTCGTAAGCTTTT